AGATATCTTGGTTGTCAAGCCGCATTTGTTTGGCGAGCCGGTAGATGTCTGCCGTCTTGGGGTTGATTTTTTCCAGAACAACCTTCTCAGCTTCGTTCTTGGCATGATGAACCGCACGATTGGAGACTCGCTTGGCTGCTTTGTACGCTTCACGGCTACCCCCAGCCTTCCACGCCTTCCAACATCTTCGCCTCTCCCTCACTGCACTATCCACCAAGTCGTTCCACCACCATGTCTGCTTTCTCCATTGGTGTTTCGAAGAGACACCACACACCTGCTCCGTCACCTTCAACAGGTTGTCCTTCAGCGAAGACCATCGCTCATCTACTGTGATCGGCTGGGACTCGACGTGTTCCTGTGTCTTTGCAACGCAAACTTCTGAGAACTCAACTTGTTTCTCTGGGTCACGTAGCTTCCACACCTTGACACGGGGCACAAACTTGCGCTTGGATTGTGGACGGATGCAGACTGTAAAGTCTCCGACCACTAGTCTATGCTGCGATGCACACTCCTCCCCTAGGATGACCTTAACATTTGACACCTGTCTTCTGAAATTGCGCCGGTACAGGATGAGGCCGATCTCTGTAGCGGCTGTTCTAGACTGGTANAGTTTATTATAATTGACAATGACAATACCTCTAGGGCCTAGACATTCTAAAAACGCTCCGAAAGTCGTCAATGTTGTACTAGGCTGATACAACATCATCAGCATAGAACATGATCCTAGGCTTGGAAGGACGACGTTGGGCGGCAACTACGAGCACCGTAGCTTCCTTGAGCAAATCTAACGATGGTGACAGAATCTCGTCCTCGTCATCAAACAGAAACTCTACGAATACGTTAAACAGCGCAGCTTTGTTCATGTTTGCTACCGCCATGTTGGATCCGGTGCAGGTCATAGCATTTGTTTGGTCGGGTCAGGATCACATGATCTCGATCCGACGGATTCGTCCCAAACAAACGCGCCCTAGTTTCAAAATGTACCGCTCTCTCGGTAGTGGCGCCATCTATCGGGAAAAAAATCGTCTTCTATTACTGGACATCATCTCTATCCTTGAGCCCATTGTTTTACCAATGTATAACCAGGACACAGCCCTCAGCTTAACATTAGAATATGGCACATACGGCCTCGAGTTGCTCGACCTGCTGCTGTTTACCTTTCATCACCATCTGCCCACTAGTGATTTTTTTTTTTACATTGGAACTGATTAGTGCCTTCATACTTGTAAAGCTCAAACACGTCTGTAAACTGCTTCGTGCGTGTATGACAGAAAGTAATTTGATGTGATAAATGTCTGTGGCGATGTCCGATTTTAAAATTCATTAGTAAAACCATATATACTAACTATACATCCAATTTAGTGCTAGTGGATGACATAAAGTGACAGAACAACACAACAACATTCAACTGGCTCATCATAGAATATATTCTTTGCAGACAGGTTCTACAAGCAACGACTCATCATCATCCTAGTTTTGATTATCCAGGCCTGAATTAAACCTCTACCGAGGGTGTGGCCTATCTGACTTGTCTTCCTTGAAGACGCCCTCTCCACGCAGAGCGGTTATGAGGGTCCGTAGAATCCATGCCAAGCTTTGCTCGGTCATTCTTTACCACGTCATCCCATGTCTTCTTTGGTCTGCCTGCTCTCTTCTGCGCAACCACCTCAATCTTGCGCGCCCTGGCGATCCAGCCTATGCCACGCTCCACATGCCCGAGCCACCGCAACCTATTAGAACGGAGCACCATGTCCACATCTTGGATGCCCAGCTTCGCGAGAAGGGAGTCAGAGCTGACTTCGTCTTTAGCCTTGACGTTGCAGATCCAGCGAATCATGGCGCGGTCGTTTCGCCGAAGACGGTTTAGGTCTTCCGCCTTCGTGGCCCACGTCTCAGAAGCATGCAGCATCGAGCTCCTCACACACGTCGAATACACACGACCCCGGGTGAGCAGTGGTAGATGGCGGTTGGTAAGAAGTGGTAGCAGCTGCCGGAATTTGCCCCATGCACATTTGCAGCGCGTGATAGTAGCTAGCTTGCAGCCTCCCCCTGCAGAGAGCATGTCTCCAAGGTAGCACCAATCATCACCTGCTGCATCGGTCTCCCATCGATCGGCCGTGCAGTGCTTAGGCAGCGGGCACACTTGAACTCAGGGTCTTGGTGTAGCGGGCCCAAACTGCCGCTGCATTTCTTGTGCACCCAGAACGAGCAGCCAATGCAACGGATTGCGTTGCCACCAGTTCCTGTGAGGCAGACAGCACAAGGATGCTTACCGGACTTCTTCAGCAGTCCACACGTCCGTGCCAGATAGCACCAACGATCTCTTGTCTTCCCCATGTTTACCGCAGCGTTGCCCTTTTCCTTCCGCCTCTCCATCGCCGACTCCCATGTCCACCTTCTCTAGACAGCTCCTCGAGGACTCGGCGAATTGCCACAGGTCGCATCGAAGGAGACGGTGTCCTTTCGCCAGAACTTCCATGGAGAGGGCCTTCCAGGCACATATTGACTGAAAAGAACCGGGCTGCAGAAACTGAGCCTATGCACTCCTACTCCCCAACCGAAACTCCGTCGCTGTGTGGGGTGGAGGTGGTGGGTGTTACTGCGACCCGACTTCTCACTCTGCTTCTCACGTCAGAGTACATGACTGACCAGCCCGGACCAGTCCACTCGTCGATACCGCGCGAGTCTTGCGCCATCGACCGACAGATGGCGTCCCATGAGGGACACGCCGCGAATGCCTTCGCCAGGTCGATGAAGGCCATGCTAGAGTGGTTTGTGTCGCGCGCCACTGTATTTCTCCTGTAGCTGCGAACAGATAAAAGCTACGTCTACACGACGAACGCTTAGACTCGAGTTAACGCGTCTACACGGAAGGCCTTAACTCAAAGTTAATGGTAACTCGAGTTAGCGTTAACTCGAGTTAGCTTACCTCGCCAGTTCGATCCCGAGGTTAAGCGCTAACTCGGTTCTAAGGCCCGTGTAGACGCTGTTCTAACTCGAGTTAGCATAACCTCCACGATCAGGCGGCCGCCCGACCCGCAGCCACTAGTACCGGACTGTACTGTACACCACTCACGCACACGCACGCCACGCTAACTGCACACGCACCGCACCACACTACATGCACGCACGTACTACGTGCACACGGCACGCAGCGCACGTAGTGCCACGCAGCGTGTACAGTGCACCACTGCGACGCACGCACGCCACGCTACCGAACAGCTGTACCTGCACAGCACTGAGCGCACGTACCGAACGTGTACCTTGCATCACCGCGCGCACGCAGCACGTGTACGTGCACATGCCACTCACGGCACGCACGCACGCACGTGGTACGTGCACATCGCACGCCCGACCGTGATACTGTGCACACGCACGCACGTGTTCGTGCCACGCACGCACGCCGCACAGAACGCAGCGCGGCAACGTGTACGTACACACCGTACGCAGCCACGCACGTGATGATACGGTGCACACGCACGCACAAGCACCACACACGCCAACGCAGTTTACATACACCACGCACGCACAGCTGTCATAAAAACTCGGGCAATTTAATCGCTAACGGGTGTTGTCGTGTAGACGCTACATAATCGCTAACTCGAGTTAATGCTTAACTCGAGTTAAGGTTCGTCGTGTAGACGAGGCTAAAGATCGCGTCAGTAGTGCCACGGCCCGGCATGAAGCCAAACTGCATGTGGTCGATCCCCACTCTCTTCCTGATAAATCCCTCTACCACTCGCTCAAGCACCTTCATCACTTGATCAATCAACTTCAGGCACCTGTAGTTCCCTCTGTCCAGAGCATCGACCTTTCCCTTAAACAAGTTGACAATGTAGCTTTCCTGCCATTCAGTCGGAATCCGGCCCTCGGATATGATGGTCTCAACGAGACCACACACCAAGACCGCACCAGCTTCACCAGCAGGCTTCAGCATCTCAGCAACGATACCAGACACCCTTGTCTGTAGCTAGATTTAGTGTGTAGTGCGCAACCTTTAGTTTACCCTGTGTGATTTGTACGTGTTTTAGTGAGTATATAATATACGGTGAAACGGCAGTTTGTTAACTACATCCCTCTACTCTCATTTTATTCCTGCTTTACACACAATTACACGGCGCACATAGCACGCAAGCTACAGCGCACAGTTGTCTGGCAGCCGAAATTATCCAGCGACTACAATAACGATGTAGATAATCACGTCTTCTAGTGACATCATAATGCATGACCAGCTGCTGACATCATTGCATATCATTATTTCATCAAGTGAAAAATTTAATTAAGACCAAACAGACAGCAAACTGTAACATTTCTTGCTAAAACTTTGCAAAGTTCTTGACATAAGAGTGGAAGTTAAACAACACCTGCCTTCCATCATGCTGTGGAATGTTTGACAACAACGTTCAAGTTTCACCATTCACATCGTGACTAATGCTGACAATCTCAGCATGAAAACCTTATTTGGAAATAACAACCATACAGATAAAACTAATAATGTACGCAGTATAAGAAATTTTTTAGAGCCATGTGTTTATGAAAACCTTTGTACGTAAGTAGCCTTCACTTGTAAAACGTTTTCGTAACTCTTAAAACGCAAATAATAAAAACAAATATGTGACAAAGCAATTAAAAACAATTTAATCTTTTTCCTGAGGTAACTATAACAGATTGTGTTTAAAATGCTTAAACCTGGTAGGCCTAACCCCGTGGTTGCCCTAGCCACCAGTTATCAAAGACATATACCCCGACTAGATGACCATAATACGTACTACATGTTAAAAATGATTTGCTCATGATTGCGCATGTCACCACATCTCACAACCTTTCATCTAATTCTGCTGGGTTATAGACACCCACCACATGTACACGGCCCATACACACTATCAACCAGTGAAAAAAATACACAGGGGCACGGGGTGATTTAGCCCCCGAAATGCCAAAAAGAGCCCCGGAAATGCCAAAAAGAACCCCCGTAAATTTGCATAGAGTTCAATGCAAACCAAATTTTAGAGTGCTATTTCCATGCACGCGAGCTTGAAAAGTAGCCCCCGAAAAATAAATTATATTTTTTTTCCTGCTATCAACCTACCAACCACCTAGTCAGATGAGAATGTTAATGGGGTGGGGTCACATCATGCCACCACAGTGCCGACCTCAACATTCTGGCTCTGCCTCCACGTATTATTCCACTAGAGCAAGTGCGCTTAGCAATGCTTTGATACTTCAATACTAGATCGTATGTCTGCTTTCCTTATAGTCTGGCCTTTGTGTTTTTCAGCTTCTGTTGAAGAACTTTATAGTAGGCTGGGTGCACCTGAAGAACAAAATGAGCAGTCATGCATACACTGCAGTTATCATATTACATATACATCCATAAATGCACTGACACATATAAACTATTACATAAGTATTATATTTGCCAAAATATACTATAGTTTTTTCTCCCTGCCTGTTAATTTTGTCCTGCCTAGGTTAAAACTGCCTGTTAAATGCTCAGATTCCCTAAGGAGACATCTAACACTGATATATCACAGAATTAGCTAACACTGCCAATGCAGATGCGTGCACTTCTACCTCTGACTTGTTCATGGGTTCTTTCTGGACGGATTCGAAGATTCGTGTGTAGACGTTACCATCGTAGCAGCCCAAGACAGAGTTCAACATGACGTCTGGGTGCTCATATGCATCCATCAAAGCCACTGCATTGGGCCTATCATTGAAAACAACAGGGGATAGTGAATCACTGACTGACCAATCAGCTTTGCTAGACGGACAAGCAGCACTAGCCAATTGCAGTGATGCGACATGTTCTCAAATCACTGCTTAGTGACACAGTGCCATATAGTGGACATTTTAGCATACATAAGTACACACGCACGCACGCACGCACGCACGCACGCACGCACGCACACACGCACACACACACATGTATATTTATATATACAAACTAGGTGAGCTTAACCATTCAATAATACTCAAGGACGTTATTCTGCTTAAGACTACACACAACAGCATTTATATCAGGACTGATTATGAATAAAAAACGAACAAATGTTTTTTACCTTATCACCGTGAATGTTTGCAGCATCTCCTCCGCTGCCCACTGAGTTTGCTCAGCTGTCAGGACTCCTGCCTATCACAACACACAATTAGCTATAAAGATAACCTTAGATATCAAACGCGCAAAATTTACTGAGCAAAACCCATCAACAAATGAAAGCAACATGAGGTTGAGCAAAGGAGATTGCAAAATTTACCCTTAAATCTACATGGAAACATGTACATGCTTTTGTATGTGTAAATGATCGAATAATAATAATAATGATAATAACAATAATAATAATAATAATCATCATCATCATCATCATCATCATAATCATAATAATAAAAGCTTTATTGCATTGAAAGTTACTATTTAAATTTTTAAATAAAATAAGTTTGAAATAGTCTCCAGTTTGTTGAATTTTATTGTTTAGACCTGGTTTAACGTTAGTGTAAAGGTTGAATTTGGTAAAAATGAGAAATGATTCCATCTTTATACAAATTGCTTTAGTAGACAGGTCGAATGTGGGTAGCAATTACATTACTAACAAATCTAAATTGGAACTCCATTCGTCATGTGCCAACTTTCAATCTTTAAAAAGCAGCAACTAGAAGCGACAGAAATGCGCTACTGCCATCTATTACAGACATCTTGTAACCTCACGATCAGCTTGCTATCTCTCAGCCGAGCCCATAGAGCAGTCACACGCGGCGACGCTACAGCCTACATGCATCGGTTAACACTGCAGTTACTAGGTACACTCACCTGTAGGAACTGCCCACTGCTTCGCGTGATGGCATAGGTAGCCTGCAGGGTGAGGAGAGCTGTGAAGATGCGGGCAAGGTGCGGTGAGACGGTGAGGGTGGCGACGCCTGCAGCGAACGCTCGCAGCAGGTAGAGTTCACTGTGAGCCTTCGCCGCATCTACCAGCAGCACACTGCTGAGGTCATACGCCTCCATGGCGTCACGCGCCCCCGCTGCCGCACAACGCTCCATCCGCAGCGCCACGTGCCTAATCATCCTGCAATATGGTGGGGCAGACGTGTGAAACAATTGTGGATTTTGTGGTAATTGCAGCAAAATTGGCGTATATCATCTTAAGGGCATACTAAATGATTCACTGTTCACACTAAATAGTTCACCGTTAACAATAGCTCACTGTCTCAAGGTATCATCCTCCTCCACCCTTTGATCACGATTTGTTTCTTCTTACTGAGGGACATGGATTGCCAGTGACACTGTGCATGGTCACTGTCAGACTATCTCACATAATTATCAGTGGTATTTTCACCTCAACTTTACCTTTTTTAGGCATTATTTTAACCATTTTTAGATGGTGCAGATCGATTTGTTCAGGGCAGAAAAAAGACGAACGGACGACGGACGGATTTGCAAACACGATCGAAATGACGCGAGCACAGACTGCCTTCACTACTGCTCAGTCAGACGACAGGTGGGAAGCCATCGCTAGTGAATTCACTCAAACAAATTTAACATGAATGCAACAGTCATCATTAATCGTGGTATATCGGAGAGGTTGTGCCTGGCCAAGCCATTCATACCTTAGACATAAACGTTATTACAGAAAGCACTCTACTCAAAGGTATTCACTTGTCAACCGAATCATGAACGCTTCCGACAAGTTTATTTTTGCATTGGCTGTGAGGAGTGAACTTACGCAGCAGCCCTGCCTTCAAACGCCTTTAGCACCTTCGCGGGGTTGGCAAACTCGGCCGATGCTCTAATGTCCGACGTGTAGGCGGGCTGGCCGAGGTACTGGATGCTGTCTGCCACTCTTCTGCCAGCTCGTACAGCTGCCAGCTGCTTCAGCAGATGCCTATACGCAGAGAAACACGTCACGGCGTGCCAGCACGCGCGTTTGCTAACGGCACACGCTACTCTGGGTGCCGACATCACAATTACCGTCATTTTGACAGTTGTTTGCGCAGCTGCCATTACACAGGTTGATTGTTACTGTCGGCAGACGCTACAGCAGTTGCCGACGTCACTATTACCATCATTTTTACTGTTTTTACGGCTGTTTGTGTAGCTTGATTGTCACAGGTTGATTGTCGTTATCCTAGCTGGCTGCTCACCTTCCTGCCTCCAGGTACATGACTGTGTTTTCACCCTCTGCCGTGCACAGTGCCTTTGCATAGTCAGCGATGCCGGGCAGCTCGCTGGCAGTGAGGGCGCCGTGGCCGCCGCACGCCATCCTCACCGCGTCGCATCCCTGCCACGCCTGCTCCGAACACAGCGCCTTCAGCCCGGCCGACACCGAGTGAAGCTGAAACCATGCGAAGCATCAGTCAGACACGTCGTCGTAGCAATGCCTGCTCCGAACACAGCGCCTTCAGCCCGGCCGACACCGAGTGAAGCTGAAACCATGCGAAGCATCAGTCAGACACGTCGTCGTAGCAATGCCTGCTCCGAACACAGCGCCTTCAGCCCGGCCGACACCGAGTGAAGCTGAAACCATGCGAAGCATCAGTCAGACACGTCGTCGTAGCAATGCCTGCTCCGAACACAGCGCCTTCAGCCCGGCCGACACCGAGTGAAGCTGAAACCATGCGAAGCATCAGTCAGACACGTCGTCGTAGCAATGCCTGCTCCGAACACAGCGCCTTCAGCCCGGCCGACACCGAGTGAAGCTTATTCCTGTCACCTCATTCGTATTTCTGTTTATTCTTCTTTCTATTTCTTTTTTTGTTATTTCTCATGTCTTATTTCTGTTTCTGGCTCGTCTCTGCAGCTGAGTGCGGACGGCGTGTACACGCGCCGTGGCTCTGAGAAGGGTGGCTACGCGTCGATGGTGATGATGCGTGTCATGTTCATCGCGCTCTGCGAGGACAACCTGTCCAAGGCGCTGACAATCGCGACGCGCTACAGCTGTGTGGCCGACGCATGCACGGCTGCGGCCCGGGTGAGACAGCCACGCGCGCGCTCCGCTAGTGGAGATGCGGCTTGTAGCGGGGACTCGCTACAACTGTGTGCGCCGGCAGTGCACGCCGCGGCCCGGGTGAGACGAGCCACGCTCGCCGCTCCCTCTAGGGGATGCGTTTGTAGGGGGGACACGCTACAGCTGTGTGCGCCGGCAGTGCACGCCGCGGCCCGGGTAGACAGCCATGCTCGCCGCTCCGCTAGGTCGGATGCGGCTTGTAGGGGGGACACGCTACAGCTGTGTGCGCCGGCAGTGCACGCTGCGGCCCGGGTGAGACAGCCACGCTCGCCGCTCCCTCTAGTGGGATGCGGCTTGTAGGGGCGGACACGCTACAGCTGGTGTGCGCGGCAGTGCACGCCGCGGCCCGGGTGAGACAGCCACGCTCGCCGCTCCCGCTAGTGGGATGCGGCTTGTAGGGGGGACACGCTACAGCTGTGTGCGCCGGCAGTGCACGCCGCGGCCCGGGTGAGACAGCCACGCTCGCCGCTCCGCTAGTGGGATGCGGCTTGTAGGGGGACGCGCTACAGCTGTGTGCGCGCGGCAGTGCACGCTGCGGCCCGGTGAGACAGCCACACTCGCCGCTCCCGCTGGGATGCGGCTTGTAGGGGGACGCGCTACAGCTGTGTGCGCCGGCAGTGCACGCCGCGGCCCGGGTGAGACAGCCACACTCACCGCTCCCTCTAATGGGCTGCGGCTTGTAGGGGGGGAGGGAATGTTGATATAGCCAATATTGGCATTTATGGACCCTGTATACGAATCTTTAAGACATCCTATATAAACAGGTGGCCATTCAATGGGGGGGGGGGCGTTATCGTGTTACTGCCATTAAAGTGAAATTCCGGTAGTGTCTTTATAGAAACGTGTCTATTTTATAGCGATTACCCTAACACCAGTTTAACTGTATCGTAGTAGAAGCACATTTACAGCGTATTTAAACACGTTGGTATGGCCGTTCATATTATATCGTCATATTGAGTGTTCTCTTGTTGAATGGCTGCATGCTGGATTGTCGGGTGCATTATTTCTCCTGTGTGGTCGTCGCTCGTGAACAGGAGAGTCAGTCATTGCATTATCAGACGCAGCAGATGAACTCTTCCCTTGGATTGCCATGACCTTCTCTTTCCTATTTCTCCGAAACACGTAGAAGAGGTGTACAACGCCAGAACAGAGGAGATGAATGAAGGAAACTACTCCAACCTGGCCGAGGTAGAGACACGGGCGAAATTAGAACGGGGGGCGGGGCCCCACTCCTTTGCCCGTGATTCACAGGACACTACACTCTCCTTTTTGGCATGTCGTTGTCTGCCTGTGATAGTTAGAAAACCAAGTGACTGTTTCCATACATTCTTCCAACTGTACACTCGCACTAGATGTGTCTGAACCTTTTTCTCAATGTGTTTATCGCGTAAAAACCTCCATGTGATGGATTTGATCTTGATTGTTAGTGATTGATGATAATATGGCTACGACGTGTCCGACCGATGGTCTGCATGGTTTCAAGCTTCACTCAGTCTTTGCCGGGCTGAAGGCGCTGTGTTCAGAGCAGGCGTTGCTGTGACGACTCACTGACCGATGGTTTCGCATGGTTTCAAGCTTCACTCAGTCTTTGCCGGCTGAAGGCGCTGTGTTCGGAGCAGGCCATGCTACGACGGACGTGTCTGACTGATGTTCGTCCATTGGGTTAGCTTCACTCAGTGTCGGCCGGGCTGAAGGCGCTGGTGTTCGGAGCAGGCATTGCTCGACGACGCTGTCTGGACTGATGCTTCGCATGCGTTCAGCTGTCACTTCGGTGTCGGCCGGGCTGAAGCGCTGTGGTCTCGGAGCAAGCATTGCTACGACGAGTGTCTGATGATGCTTCGCATGGTTTCAGCTTCACTCGGATGTCGGCCGGTGAAGGGCGCTGTGTTCGGAGCAGGCCATTTGCTACGACGACGTTGTCTGACTGATGCTTCGCATGCGTTTCAGCCCTTCACTCGGTGTCGGCCGGGCTAAGCGCGCTGTTTCGGGAGCAAGGCATTGCGCCTACGACGACGTGTCTGACTTGGATGCTTCGCATGGTTTCAGCTCACTCGGGTCGGCCGGGCTGAAGGCGGCTGTGTTCGCGAGCAGCATTGCTACGGACGACGTGTCTGACTGATGCTTCGCCATGCGTTCAGCTTCACTCGGGTGTCGGCGGGGCTGAAGGCGCGTCGTGTTCGGAGCAGGCATTGCTACGACGACAGCGTGTCTGACTGATTGCTTCGCTGCTATTCAGCTTCACTCGGTGTCGGCCGGGACTGAAGGCTCTGTTTCGGAGCAGGCATTGCTACGACGACGTGTCTGACTGATTGCTTCGGCATCGGTTTCAGCTTCACTCTCGGCTGTCGGCTGGGCTAGGCCGCTGTGTTCGGAGCAGGCGTTTGCCTACCGACGACGTGTCTGACTGATGCTTTCGCGATGGTTTCAGCTTCACTCTGTGTCGCGCGAGCTGAAAAGGCGCATTGTTCGAGCAGGCATTCGCTACGACGACGTGAGCAGGTGTCTGACTGATGCTTCGCATGGTGTCAGCTTCACTCGGTGTCGCGCCGGGCTGAAGGCGCGTGTTCGGAGCAGCGTTGCTACGCACGACTGTGTCTGGACTGGATGCTTCGCATGGTTTCAGCTTCACTCGGCGCTCGGCGGGCTGAAGGCCTAGCGAAAAAAATACACGGGGAAGCTGGCGAGCGATTTTCGCCTCCCGTCAGCTTTCAAATGCGCTCTTGGTAACAACAATTACGAGAGCCGCGAAAATTTTGCGAAGCCTACGAGAAAAAATCGCTCCCGTTGACCACCGGCACGCGTTACGACCCATTCCTCCAACGTAGACAGCTAGGGTTATCCAAAACATCTAGAGCTGCAATGAACTCCCTCAACGCATGATTCGCCACACGAACAAAAACTCGCGATAGTCTATAAGAAATCAATGTGTTTTTATAACCGCACGTAACCAATAAGTTATATAATCGCAGCGGTTCATTGTGAGGAAGTTAGCGGCACGGGGACCGAGTGACACCTGGACACGACGTAGATCAAAGGCTGTTTTGGCTGAATTCGGCTTACGCTAGAAGTGGACTGTTTTTTTATCAGGGTAGATATTTAGAAAAATGTAAACTGTAATATTTGAATGATTCTAGGCACTTGATAACTTTGTGGATTGCGGGCCAGCATTGAATAGATCTATGCATGGGGTACCGTGGACTGGGGAAGAGAAAAAACGAAAGTAAAACCTTACCCAGAAGCTCCCCCGACATTCCTAGAGCATGTAAACATTATTTTGACGCAACTCTAATTAAGTTACTCAAGAGTTAATGAGAGCACTATTTGTCTTCATTAACTCCTTTGTTATGCGTTATGCTGTTTAATTCAATTGGTTATCTTTTATATAACTATTTTGTTACTCACTGGCTAGTAAATAAAGCTGACACCAAATTTTTGTGTCAGGTCCACAAAAAACTTTTCTGAACTTTCTTGAACTTTCTGAACTTCTGAACTTCTGAAACTCTTCTGAACTTTCTGAAGTGGTGGTCCTTAGCTGTCACTAGATTTTCAGCGCGAAAATTCGAACCCTGCACGGTGCCGGCTCGACAAATCGGCTGCCCGATGGCCCGGCGGCCAACCAAAATTCGCCGGGGCAGGGGTAGTTGAAAATTGCACTTCCCTGTTTCGGGGCAGCAAGTTTTTTTTTATTGAATGGCCTTAGACCATAACGATGTTGAATTAAAAAACAATGGCGAATGAGACAATTCAGTGCATAGCAGTCATACTTTGTACACAACACTGCAACAGCAACATGTAAACCCGCCCGCCGTGATTTGTCAGCCATTAGGAATAATTGTGACCTCGTCGATTTCGCCAGAAGCATAATCCTTGACTTGTTTGGGAAACCACCTTTACCGATTAATAGACACAATTTCTGGCTTCTGAGACATTATTAGAGTCAGTGCATCAAGAATTAAATGAAAATTTTAACAAAATTCATTGCCTTAATGAAAAAAGTAGCTCTGGCCCAAGCTTAAAATAGCCTCCCGTAAACAAAATACGAGCAGCTTTTTTTTTCATACAAAATTCAAAAAAAGAGCTCCTCGTAATAAAAAAAGTATTTTTTTAGGCTGCCTGAAGGCGCTGCTGTCGGAGCAGGCCATTGCTTACGACGACGGTGTCTGACTTGAATCGCTTCGCATGGTCTTCAGCTTCACTCGGGTCAGCCGGGCTGATAGGCGCTGTGTTCGGAGCAGGGTGGCAGGGATGCGACGCCCCGTGGCATGCGCGTGCGGCGGCCACGGCCGCCCTCACTTGCCAGCGAAGCTGCCCGGGCATCGCTGGACTTATGCAGAAGGCACTGTGCACGGCAGAGGTGCTGAAAACACCAGTCATGTACCGGAGGCAGGGCCAGCGTTGTGAGCAGCCAGTAGGATATACGGACAAATCAACCTGTGAACAATCAAGCTACACAAAACAGCCGTAAAAACAGTAAAAATGATGGTAATAGTGACGTCGGCCACTCTGTTAGCGTCTGCCGCACAGTAACAATCCAACCTGTGTAATGACAGCTGCGCAAACAACTGTCAAATGACTGTAATTGTGATCGTCGGCACCAGAGTAGCGTGGTGCCGCTTAGCAAACGCGCGTGCTGGCATTGCCGTGGGACGTGTTTCTTTCTGCGTATCAGGCATCTGCTGACAGCTGGCCAGCCCTGTACGAGCTGGCAGAAGAGTGGCAGACAGCATCAGTACCTCGGCCCAAAAGCCCGCCCCTACAGCGTCGACATTAGAGCATCGCCGGTTTGCCAACCCGCGAAGCGCTGCTAAAGCGGCCGTTTGAAGCAGGGCTGCTGCGTAAGTTCACTCCTCACAGCCAATGCCAAAATAAACTTTCGGTAAGCGTTTCATGAATTCGGTTTACAGTGAATACCTTTTTGAGTAGAGTGCTTTCTGTAAATACGTTCTATGTCTAAGGTATGAACGCTTGGCCACGGCACAACCTCTCCGATATACCACGATTAATGATGACCTGCGTGCATTCATAGTTAAATTTGTTTTTTTGAGTTGAATTCACTCTAGCGATGGCTCCCACCTGATCGTCTGACTGTATTGAGAGTATGAATGGCAGGTCTTGCGTCGCGTCAGTTCGGTCTGTGTTTGCGCAAATCCGTCCTCGTCGGTTCGTCGTTTTTCTGGCCCTGGAACAAATCGATCTGGCACCATCTATAAATGGATGTTAAAATAATGCCTGAAAAAAGGGTTGAAAGTTGAGGGGTGAAAATACACTGATAATTATGGTGATGAATATCTACAGTGACTGCACTCAGCGTGTCACTGGCAAGCCAGTCCTCAGTTAAGTAAGAAACTAAATCGTGATCAAAGGGGTGGAGGAGGGATGATTTACCTTGAGACAGTGAGCCGT